AGCCACTGTGAGAAGATTGTGGACTAAACTGTTACAACTTCCATTCACTTTAGATAACTTCACTATCTCATCTAAAAAGTAGACCTGCATTCGAGTCCGACAGCTAGGCAGCTAAAATGCATATACAATACCACCTTTATTTATAAAGCACTTTAAAATAAACCAGGGTTCACAAAGTGCTGTGCATATAAAAATAGAATAAACAGAAAATAAAATCAAACGTGGTAAAAAAAAAAAAATTGAAAATAGAAAAATAGAGTCAACTTCTCAAAATGTGCCAAAGGCTTTACTAAATAAATATGTTTTAAGAAGAGTCTTAAACTCAGAAAGAGAAGAGGTCTGCCTAATCTGTAAGGGCAGATCACTCCACAACTTTGAAGCAGCTACAGGGAAAGCATGGTCACCTCTAAATTTACGCTTGGTTTTTGGCAACTTAAGGAGCTGCTTGGTGGCAGATCTAAGGGAGCAGGTAAACATGGCTGTGCTAGCTAAGAAAATACAGGCACTTTGGTGATACTGCCATGGAAAAACTCCCTTTTAACAGCATGAAACCTGTGGCAGAACCAGGCTCAGGGAGGGCCCGACCATTTGGGGGTGATGAGAGGATGACAGGACAAAGACACACTATTAAAGAGAGCCAGAGATTAATAATAACTAATAATTAGATGCAAAGAGGTGTGTACACACAGTGAGTGAAAAAAAATGTTGAGTGAAGAAGAAACACTCAGTGCATCACGGGTCACACCCCAAGCAGCCGAATGTGTGCAAATACATTTTTTAAAACAAAAGCGATGTCTATGCAACTTTTGAATTTAGGATATGAACTAGTTAAATGGTTATCACAATTTGTTAATTTAATTATAACATTTATTCTATACCAAAACTAAAACTCAAAATACAGTGTGATACAGATAATACGATATGGTTTTAATATTTTTAATACAAATGCCTTTTGTTATGTGTTCCATACCATATTAGGCCTGATTTAAGCCTTATATTTAAGCATTATATCAGGCCTAAAATATGTTTAGTTTGGATCATTACTGTTACAGATGATGTATAACTGCTGACCAACAAAAGGGTTATTATGTCCTAACATTAGCAATTTAATAATTTAGACAACTTTTGTCTTGTTGGTTTATAATATTTTAATACATTTCCTGTACGGTTGTCTGTGTGAATTAAACAAACAAAAAAACATCATGTTCAGTGTTGCATTTCCTTACTTACAAAGTATTCAAAGACACTTCAGTTCTACTACACAAAAAATAAATCTAATGGAATTATTTTAATTTACTTTAACCAACTTTGGAGTGGTAATAAATTACTTTATTTGATAACTGAATGTATTTAATGACAAAATTATATTAGTTTTTATTGGAAATGACACCATATGCTCTCAGTGTCACTTGTCCACTTTGTCAGTTACTTATAAAATAACGTTACTGGTCTTGCATAGTCAATTCGTTTTAAAACCCATAAATGAAAAGGCCTTTATAACTCTGAATTCAAGAAATGAGTGGTGAGACTTTTCTGTAATGTAATGGTACCTGTTTTACAGAAGGAGGCAGTGTTGTCTTTTTATTTGAATTAATTAAATTTAAAAAAAGATTACACCACACACACATGCCGAGAGAATGCCAGAATTTAATGTTTAATGGTATTTGAAAAAAAAATAGATTTCAAGTCATAATTAATCTGTGTGCAAATATAACTTTTTGGAAATGCAAATGTAACTTTTTTTTCCCTTTTTTCCCCTGCAGTTATATTAAAATAAACTCTACTCTATTCTATTCTATCTAAATCCCCGCAAAGCCAACAAAACCATACTCACATTAGCATTGCAATGATCAGTTTTTGATCACAAACAGTGAAACCAAATTTTGTGGTTTAAACAACCCACTTTCATAAGCATTACACCTTTATCATGGCATTTCCAATGGTTGAAAATATCCAGTTTCTAGAGTCAGGAATCTTCGAGTATCTATAGATATCTGAGCCACCTGAGTGTGGTGTGACTGCGGTGGACACCACCCCAAATGCCTTTCCATCTTCACACACCAATGGACCACCAGAGTCTCCCTGAAAGTATATACACACACAGCGCTTAAAGTGAATAGTGAAGTTATTACCATAAAGTTTGATTGTCCACATGATAATTAAAGAAATGTATGTACCTCAGCTGGACCTGTGTCTCCCTGAGAGCAGTAGAAGTTTTCTTTAGCACATTCTTTATTTTTAATCAGTGTAACACTGGTTTCCATGAGTTTGGGAGACATATATTTACTATTTTTGTCTGTTCGCCCCCAGCCAGAGAGTATACAAGATTTTGGCAAAGTATCATTATCATGGCTCGCCAGAGGAATAGGTTTCACATTCTCATTGAAGTTTGCCTTGGTTTTCAGCTTAAGGAAAGAGAAAGATATATACATGAAAATTAAAATATGTTTTTTTTTGTTTTTTTCTTTCAGTCCAGATTAACTTATAAAATGCTCAATATAATTACATAATATGGTAAATATTTTTTTCATGAACAATAAATGCTAACAGTAAATTAATATGTATTTTCTGTGTGATGATATTCTTACCTTCAAAAGCATTACATCATTCACATAAGAAGTTGCGTTAAAGTCTTTATGTGGAAATGCTTGTTCCACAGATATGCGTTGTATTTCACTGTTTGAACTCACAATGTGAGCTCCTAGTACGACTTCGTAACACCTGAAATAAAAAAATTTAAAAATAAAACATGAAAATATTATTTATGAATGAAATGATGACTGTTTCTTTCAGGGTATTATATTCAGAAAACAAACATTATCACTGTTGTTGACATTATCATAGCCCACATAGATATTATTTATTTATGTGTTTTGAAATTTTCAATGCATCTTCTTAGTTTTATTATGGATAAAAAGTTCTTTCAGGTACCCTGACTTTGGTGTCATAGGTAAATACATTGGTTAAACTCACTTGGCGTGACAGTGGGCAGCAGTCATCACAAAATCCTCATTCAGAAGGAAGCCACCGCAGTACTTTTTTTGACCATCTGACATGTACCTCTCCAAAAGCACCATGTATGGCCTGCTATGTGGCACAGCCTCATGGCCTCCAATGATCTTACCCGAGTAAACTGGGAGACGAAAAGAAAAAGAAAAGTTAAATAGATCCATCATCATGCATTGTCTGTAAAATGCGAGCCCTCGTGTCTGTAATAGTCCACATAAAAAAAATTTATTATAAACAACACCTACCTTGATCATCAAGAGTCATCACAAGGATGAGTATAGCCAGTATACAGTGGACAGACATGGTGAGGTGACAGTTCAGCTTAGTTACTGAAGAGCAGTGGCTCAGATCATTCACAGTTTCTGTCTTTGAATACTTCCTTGTATCAGTGAGAGGAGGATGTATCTGAGTAATTTGCATATGCAAATAATGTTGGTTTGAACCACGCTGTTTAACATCTCAAGAACCTGAGAAAAGTTGCATTTTCATAAAAGAACAGATGAGCTTTTGTACAATGTGTGATTCAATAATTAATGTAGCTATATCGTGTCATATTGATGTAGGGCATGCATTTTGCGTTGGTAGTATTTAAAGTGACTCATTTTAGCTGAAGCAAACTATGACTGTGGTGGGAATGTATTGGAAAAAACAAGGAAAGTTTCTTAATTAGTTATAACTTGTTACTTTATTTTGTAGCTTTTTCAAGTCAATTAACTTTCTGTTACCCATAATTTCACCTGAGTTCTCATTTCCATAAACACGAATTCAAGAAAATCACCTCATAAGTACATATGTGACCACAGGTTAACTTTTAATTGAGTTAAATGGAGCTTGTATATGAATAACATCAGTGGTAATGATTTAGCCACGGATGCCTCTGTGGTAATACCCAAAGCAGTGAAGATCTCTATTCACATTTTATATTCAATGCCATGCCTATCTCAGAGGAGCCTGAGTGTCGGTCACGCAACCTCAAAAGTAACATTATTCTGATGTTATCATGTCATAAGAAAGTGCATAAAAATAGGATTTGTTTGAAAGTGTGGTCCGTGGAACTTGAACTGAAATGTGACCCTTGAGCTACCAGAAGAATGAACAAGTCAGTAGCATAGCGTGCAAGAGGAAAGGAGATCAGCTAGCAGACGTATTTATGTAAGCCAGCACAGTGAAGAAAGATTTTTTTGTATGCCACACTTTGTAAGATAAATGTATGTGTTATATATGTAAAATGCAATTTGTGTGTCTATTTATAGCATGTGGGTTTAACAGATACAGAAAATGCACTCAGTGCTTCAAGTAAATGATTCAGTATCAAGCATCAGAATAAACTTCAGCAACAAACAGATTCGAAAAGATTAAAACAGCAATAATTATAACTACTTTCTTTTTCACAGTGTAGTCAAGCCTAAAGGTATGCAGCTTACTGACCACATTGTGTCTGTTACATCACTTCCTCAGTCTAGACTCAAGTATGTCTGTCTTATATCTTGGCCGTAAATGTTATTGTCATTGTTTTGAATGATGCACAAAAAGGTTTTAATGTGTTGGGCAAAAAGAGAAGATGTGGGAAGATGAGAAGGAAACGAGTGAACAAGTTTTGGGATGTGAGCTCCTGGAGTCCAGGGCAGTAATGGGAATCACAGGAGGAGATGCGAAGAGGAACCTGCTTGGTAGAACAGGGCCTTTACCGTTAGCCCGTCACTTTTATGAGGACCACGGGGCTGAGAGGACTGGCTGGTTTAGTCATTGGACATAGCAGCAAGGAAAGAGGGAATGTAATAGCAACCATCAATCAAAGTGCAAATTACATGTTTATTAAGAAGAAAGGAACGGGACAACAATAAAATGAACAGACATTGCTAGAACAGTCAAAATAGATCAAACTGTGGATTTAACTGTAATCACATATGAGAACAGAAGTTTATGGCCTGAGACACATACCAGTGTGACTCCACTCACTCATTCCATTAACTTTCTCATGTTTGTGCTTACATATTAATCTTTCTTTAGTTAAATTTAGACTCATGTTACACTTTATTACAAAAAAAAGTCTCTTTTCTTCAAGGTGGCTCCATCACCGTCACCTCACAGCAAGAAGTGTTGGCCTCACGTTTATGTTTAGAGTTTGCACTAGCCTGTCTGACATCTACAGTCCAAAGAAATCATAACAACTGGGAACAAGAAGAGGGATGGACGGACGTATGGACGGCCTGAGATTTGTTCAGCGACATGCAAATGAAGCTGGTAGCTTGCTATCCAAATAAAGACAGCAGTTTTATAGTTTAATGAGAATATGGCTTAGCCAGTGAGGTGGAAAGGTGCCAAAAATAAGTACATTCCTGGTAAAACATGCACACTTGACGAAACTACTTGGAATTATGTGTCACTGGCCTTTAAACAAATAAGTCACAGGGCTTTCAACATACGTTTGTGTGCAATATGTTGTGGATTTATTTATTTACTATTTTTACGTCTTATAAATTAAACCATGTGAATTTTGAATAACTTCCGTTGTTTCCTGTCATTAAAGAACAACAACAAAAAAGCAAAGAAAAGATTTGAGTTTTGTGTTCTTAGATTCTAGTTCTGGCTGCTTTGAAACGATAGACTACCAACGGTAGTGAGGGTTTAGAAAGTGTGTTTTCTCACGTCCACACCCTCACAGACAATAGATAAGCACAATGCAAAACAACACTGTAGGTTCTTGAAGACGTTTTACCTCGCATCTGAGAGCCGAATGGCCTAGATGACAAAGAACCTACACAGACCAGTCTAACAATGGAAAGGACACCCACAATTTGCTCAACTAATTTTGAACTACTAGATTGTTTTTGATATTTAATGGCACAGAGTGAGGCATCAGAAAAAGGACTGAAGTTTCATTACCATAACCGAAGAGTTTTAATCTCTATATTCGCACAGAAATTAATCGTGCCAGTTTTCTAACAGCCCATTTGACCTAGTCTACATTGCTAGTCATTTTGAAGTTTTTATGTTGACACTCAAGCAACAGAACAAATGAGTCACATGTTGAAGTGGTTACTCTGCTTAAGATGCAATCTGTAGTGCAAGTTTCCTTTCTCATGATGAAGAGACAAGATATAGAACTGCATTTTCCTATTTGCTAATGCTAAACTGAAGAGACCTTACTGCAAACTGCTAAATTACACAGGTCTTTGTAATTAATACAATTTTAGGATGATTATGTGAATTATGAAAATAAATATTAAATTCGATGCCTAGTGGTGGTCTACGTCAGGTTGCGGCATTGCAAAGAATCAGCTTGCTACGAAAGTCTTGTAAAGGTTTCTGACGAGAGCATCAGCTGTTGGTTTTGAGCCTGCGTGAATGATTTTGAATGAAAGTCACATACTCATTTTAATGTGTTCTGAGCTTTTGCAGAGTTTTTTGCAGATGGAAAACTAATGCTACACAAATAGACAGCTGGCGGGTAAGGCCTAGGGAGAATGTGAAAGAAGAGTGAGAATAAAAAGCATTCTCAGGTCCACATATAGTTTATATAAAGCATTTTTTTTGTCCGAGTCAGACTGTGCTCGCTTTGACTTTGACATGTTCTCTTTAAGTTAACTTTAACAAAAAATAGAAAAATCACAAAGAAGTAAAGTGATTTTTTCCAAATACACTTTTAGCTGATTGGCACACAAGTCACTGCAAGCCATTTCCCCCTTTTCTTAATGTAATTGCTTTAGTGCTGTTAGTCATAGAGAGATCTACACAAACCATAGACTCATGTGCTTTCCATATGACAGCACATTAAAAAGGAAAGCCCTGCAAATGACTTTTGAGATAAGAGAAAGACTTAAGCATGTCAGTGCAGAATAAATATTTATATATAATGAGCACATATGCAGTGAAACACAAGAAAATATGTTTTTCCTATCACACTACAATCTCAGTGGCAAGCTAAGGACTTTTATGTGCACAGCCTTTGAAATTAAATCATGTGTTTGTGTGTGTGCTGGACACATTAGATATAAATATATATATATAAGAAAGTTCACTTTCCCACCGCAGACTATCATTCTCTGATGCAAACTTTGGCTTGCATGTGTCATCTAGCAGTCAGTCTTACCGCACTGACCGAAGCTTCGGGAGATATTAGATCCTATGATTTAGACATATGATCTTCTGCCGATTTACCTCGCTTCTGCTTGTTTAACAGCTCATAAAGAATGAGCTGTAATTCTCAGGCATCAGCTCCTGAGCACATTTGGTGCTTCTTTGCTCTATTGCTATAAGGCTATGCTTTGTTGGATTGTTTTTTGGGGGGTCTCAGTTACCGACAAGTAAGATCACACTTAGTTACTGTGGATGTAGAAGGACTAAAAGTACGCAGGGAAAGCATGTCGAGACAGAATATATGTAATTGTTGACTGATTAGCTAAAAAACATGCGTGCGCACAATCACAAACACACACACACACATACAGACACGCAGGTGTCTCGTGCTAAAAGCGAGCCTCTATTCAAATAACACAGCCCACAAAAAAGAGTGAGCAAAGAGACGAAGCATTTAACTGAGCCTTGAACGCATAAATTATGTCAGCTCCATCGTGTTTTTCTGTTCTTCTTGGACCATTTCAATCTGAAAAACATATGCTGTCTATCCGCTCTCGACATGGAATTCATATTTAGATGTATCAGATTTAAACCAGTATAAGGAGAAGATGGGAATTCCAACAAAACAGTTGAGCCACTTTTTTTTTTTGCAAGAAAAGTGATACTGGGAACTAAAAGCTTCCAAGTCTTAAGTTGTGCTATTTATCAGGCATTTCAAGAGAACCTGTCAAAAGCGAGGAGGTGTAAACCACATTGTAATTACCAAACATATTCTCATGAGTAGGATGACCTCTTTATCTAGTCACATGTTCGTAGATAAAGCATGTCAAGTAGAGAAGGTATTCCTCTTATACTTGGATACATCAGTCTTTCTGTTCTCACACACAAAAGCAGTCATATATCAAGCTAGTTAATGTTACCTATATATTGCATTAAAACAGAGCTGCTTTTTAACTTAAACACACTCCAGAAAAAGTGTATTTTGGTGAATGTTACTTCACTTCGATGTTTGGCCTTCACAGTACAGAATGAATTAGAAAAGTCAAAGAATTTATTTTTTAAAGTTCTTTTAAGTTCTTTGATGTAATTCCAACCAAGTTTGACTAACCGAACTCATTGAAAAGCAGATGAATAGTTCCATAAACATTTCTGTGTTTGGATTTGGGGGTTTTAGACAGATTCAAAAAAAGAACACTACCTATTCCTCTTCTTAGGCTTCCTTG